GCACTTGCTTTTGTCGGTTTGGACCAGTACAATCATATAATCATGTAGTCTATGTAATATTTTCTTCACTTTTGAAAATGAAAGAAGAATAAATTGTTTTCATACTCTCCTCCTCCGCTTAATGGGAGATTTAAATACTCGTACATCTGATACAATAAATCCAATCTGACAAAGAGTTAAGGTCTTCCTTTTCATGTTTAACCCATCGTCTGGTGTAATCTTCCACAGAAATCATAACTGATTTAAAAACTTTGACGCCAGTTGAGAAATCGGGGTTCCTTCTTCTTTTCTTTTTACCCGTTGACATTGGATTTTACCCTACTTTCGAAAAACTTTAACCTAGTCCATAAGATTTGAACAGTTGGTGCTAGGACTGTCATATTTCACGTGTATTTCTTGTGTACTTTTCTTGGGTACCAATCTTATATACTTGACCTTGGAGATTGACCTACTTTTTGCTTTAAATCTTAACCTTGGATATAACCCTTGAATGGTTGTTGCTAGGTATTTCATATTTAAGATGAGTTTTCCCTGTGACAAAACCTTCCTTTGGGCACCATACAATTAAAACTTTGACCTTGAAGTTTGATTAACTGAAAAAAATTACATTGGTCATATTTTTTTTAACAGTTCCAGTTGGGGCTTATATATATCACGGATGTATTCAACTATTCCTTGTGTCGAGACCCTTCTTTGGTCACCAACATTGTTATCTCTTGACCTTGGAGTTTGACTTGTGTTTGAGAAAACTGAAGCCATTACTAATCCCCCGTTTACACATAGACGCCGCTTCTACTACGATCAAAGCGTGGCCGAGAACGTGGCCAATCGTGACAAATCGCCGGAGAAACGTAGTGGAGTCTTCACAAGCGCAGTATGATCTCGGTAGGGTCTTCATGATCGGAGAGCTCTACGCTCTTGTCACGCACCCGGCCATAATCGTACAAGCAGCGCGGAAGCATCGTGGAGTGATCTTCGTGATCGTAGCAAAAGCGCAGTAAAAGCGTTGGAACTTATCATGTACGCTCCTACAACGCTCCCAGTATATTCTTATTACGTTCCCACTACGATCTCTGTACGTTCTTGGCGATCTTAAGAAGACCTAAAATGACCTTACGCCGATCATACTACGAACTATCAGGTAGCAGTTTGTTTTATAGCACTGATATTTAACCAATCATCATTTGTCAACTACATGTAAAGGGTGACACTATACTTGACGATCATTTGCAGCTGAGACTACGAACTTTTCAAATATTGTTACAGTTACAATTGAAAATGTCCTATAAACCACATGGTAAGGGCGTGAAAACTCTGTGGTTGCAAGACATATGCATCATTGCCAAATTCATACTAGAAAAATCTGCGGTTGCAAGATATACATACATCATAGCCAAAATCGTACTAGAAGCGTAATTCAATCGCAATATGATCCAATCTAGTTTTAATTAGATTAAATATGATCGGAACTACCGTACCGTTATCGTCGTACAGTTATCTACGTCTGCGTTTCGTCGTAGTATGATCTTGAATGTCGTAGCGGCAGCGTATCGTAAACGCACTAAACATGGCCGCTGGTCGACAACTTTCTGCGTAACATCGTAGAAGCGTCTTTGCAGCACGTTTGACGTAGGGCATCATAGTACGGTCGTAATGAAGACCATAATTTGCCAAATTGCTCGATTTTGATGCCGATCGGCACCGATCCGCCCCAATCCAAAACTTTTTTTCAGATCGTGGCTTGATAGGGATGATCGTCGTAAAGTCGCAGCTCTGTTTGAATGGGGGTAAGAGTAAGAATAGGAAGACATTAGTGTTTCAAACCCTGTTTTCTTAAGAGATATTAACTCATCAGTTGTATTGTACATGTAAAGGATAGGGCTTTATACAATGAATAATATTTTTAACGTATCTAGTTGTTCAGCATTTTCAGCAAAAGGAAAGAAAGAAAAGTATAATGTAATTGGTTGAATAAATTTTCAACTGTATTCATGGAAACATTTCGAAAAGAAGGAATAAAGAAAACATCAAATGGAGGTGCATGCAAATTAAGCATGTCTTGCACATGAGAGCTTGGGTCAAGGATAATGTATATTTTCTATACAGTGTGTTCGTTTTCTACACGTATTTCATTCTAGTATTCGAGCTTAAAAGTTCATTAAGCATTGTAAGATAGGAGTGGAGCAAACACATTCCCAGAGGTCGGATCAGGTGACATGGAGGAGTGAGCATCCCCTTCCGACCTGTCATACCCGCCATGTGCTACTTGTCATGTTTAAAAACGGAAAATTTCTGGACAACTCAGTGTGTAAATAATGGCCTAACAATCGGTATGAAAAAAGTCGGTCAGCATTTGACTTAATGATAAATTGTATTTGCTGACAAGGTCATTGTATCGACTATAGAACTTACGAAATGATGACTTTAAACGAGACTGATGATATTCTTGCTTCGTTAACTTGTTTGCCAATTGCGTAGTTGTTTATACGTAGAATATGTATCAAATCAACTGAGATATATGAACTCCGCATTCAGATGACAAAGGTATCTTGCTGCAAAAGTAAGGAGAGTTGACGATTGAAGTTAAAGTTTGTGGGGCCCATTTTACAAAAGAACTTACGACTAAGACCAAAAACTTCAGATGATTGTAACATTTTGCAAAATTAATGATTCTGTTGAAAATTTCTAGTGTAAAAATATCTTACTATATTCCTTTTAGAAAGTTTAAAATCATTTTCAATATATTGTTATTTAGAAAGTTAAATTATACGGAGAACTAAATTTGGTCTTAAGTCGTAAGTTCTTTTGTAAAACGGGCCCCAGACTTTTATCGTTAAACTTAGTTATTTGATAACCATTAGGCCATCCTTAAAAAAAATGTTTGTTTGGAATTGCCGCCTGAAGGGTTTTAGACACAGGAGGGAGGGAGGGAAATTATTTTTTTTTAATTGATTGATTGATTGTATACTGCTTAACGTCCCTCTCCAGAATATTTCACTGATATGGAGACGTCACCATTACCGGTGAAGGGCTGCAAATTTATACCTATGCTCGGCACTTACGGCCTTTGAGCAGGGAGGGATCTTTATCGTGCCACACCTGCTGTGACACGGGGCCTCGGTTTATACGGTCTCATCCGAAAGACCGCCCCATTTAGTCGCTTTTTTAATTGAAGATAAATTTTAAATTTTTTATAAAAATCTCAGTAAACAGTAAATACGTATACATTTTCTGACTTTAAAAAAAATATCTACCATCAACAATAAAACCTTGTGATACATGTAATGGGCAAAAAAAATGATTAAATAAAAAAAAATCTTCCTACTTTGGTCAATAAAATTTTTTCAGGAGGGGGCATTTCAATGAGGCGGGAGGCAATTCCAAACAAACTATAATTTTATCTTGGCCTTAACGTCTTTTTCTAGTAGGATATCCAAATATGAAACAGATGTGTTAGACTCTTTGGTATCTTTTAATTCAATCTAATCTGGACATATCGTGTCGACATATGAATAGATTTAATGTTAATTGACAATAAATCGCCGATATATTTCAATGTCGATTTGGACGCAACAGCAAGTGTTTTGTTTTCTTTTGTTTTACCTTTCACGTAAAAGATTTTGAACACATTCTGCTTCATATGAATACAAAAATAGGTCTACTAATAATAGAGCGCAATTGGTACCCATGGGATTTCAATAGATGCTTGGAAGAAATGGTCTTCATAAAAAAAAAACAGATATTGTCAATCAGGAACTCGAATTTTTTAATATAACTTAAGAGTACTTGTGTGTACAATCAGAATATTTTTAACAAAGTAATTCTGCAAATTACCAATGACTAAGTAAGTTTATTTACGAGTCTCTTTTTATTGAAAAAGCAGCTATCAATGATGTCAGAAAGCCTGGCCCCAAAACCATAACTCAAGCTTTTTAATATAACTTCAGAGTACTTGTGTGTACAATTAAAATATTTTTAACGAAGTAATTCTGCGAATTACCAATGACTAGGTAAGTAAATTTACGAGTCTCTTTTTATTGAAAAAGCAACTGTCAATGATGTCAGAAAGCCTGGCCCTATAAACCAAAAACTAAAACTGAGAACAAACTTAAGTCAAAATTTGGATTTTTAATATCTTAAGATTTATTTAATTCATTAGCTTAAAAATTCATTATTGTACATAACATTTCAATTCAAATGATGAGAATTTTATTTTATGCTCAAATTATTTCAAGAGTTACATCGATTTGAAATGTTAACGTTGACTTCGGTTCTGTTCTTAGTTTTTGGTCTTAGGGCCTGGACATAAATTTAACGTGGGGAATAATTGTATATCAAATTCAAAAGTCGTAAGTCTTTATGCTGTTGATTTTGGTAAAATTTTGTGATTTCAAGTGTTCCAAAAGTTCCTGCGATTTTTAGTATACCTGATTTACACCCCTTCACGAATATATTGTTGAACAATACTCTTAAAGTTTTTTCCTTCACTACTGTTAATATCTTAGTGAGGAATAAAGAAAGAAGTTTGGTTGAACACTTACTGGAACCCGCTATGTATCTTTGTAAGGATTTTTATAAAGTTTCAGGGTCCAATTTAGATATGGTTATTCAAATTCATTTTGGTTGTTTGGAATATTAAAAATATTCAAAACTGACATATGATTTTTGAAGAATTTCCTCCCTAGAAAGGGAACTTCGGGTATAAGTTAGATTACCACTAATGTAGAATTAAATCCAAATCCCCTTTAAAAATACATTTAATATAATGAGCCTTACAAACAAAGACATTTAATATAACGAGCCTTACAAACAAAGACAATGTTGTTTTTCTGCTTTGTCAGCAGGGACTATTTGAGATACTTAAATTTCCATAGTAGATTTCGATATTTGTTTATTTGAAATAATTTTTTGAGATACCAAATTTCTAAAGCAGTTTTAGGTATTTGTCTATTTTAGATACATTTGAGGCCAACTGTACAATAAAATAAAATTTGCTGATAAAGATTTTAAAGTCCATTTATTAAATATATAAAATACTTTCAGAGTTTTAACAGATCACAAAATATTTAACATACAGTTCTCTGTCATTAATACAATTGGTCATCCTAAAAAAACTTGTAACATCATTGATTGAAATTTTATTTGTACCATAGGAGACATAATAACTTCCTGTCAGTTCATTATATATATATATATGGCAAATTAAATAATAAATTATTTCAATTTCATGATTATAACTTGATATTCTTTTTGCAAATCTTAAGAAAAATAATGAGCAGAGTATACTCTAATACATTAGTGAAACATAGATGTAATTACAATAACGTATTTACCTTTGAGAATAAAGGGTCTTCATGAAAAACTTACATCCCACAATAGAGTATAAGCGTACTGATTTTTCTGCAAAAATTTTACGAACTGTAGTTTTCTCTCTCCCTTCCCCTCTCTCTGTATAAATTTTTAATTATTTCAGTCTACGTGAGACATTCTTTTCTTAAAAATAGCATTGAGGAGAAAATTCTTATGAAAGACAACTCTAGCATCCTTATATTTCAGTATAGCTACACATCTAAACTACCTGCATGATGGAAATTACAATTTGAACAACCAAAACAAAAACAATCTCTCACTGCCAATACAATCTGTACTGATAATACAATCGTTATACTAAGTACTTTTAAATAAATTTTACTGACTAGTTCTATGTTTGAACACCACAGATTACATGAATAACTTAGTATGTTTTGATTTCTGATCAGTCGTTGGTGCATCAGTGAGAGATTTACATAAAAACTAGTGATAACAAGTGGTTACATCTTTTTAAAATTTGTGCAAAACCATAACACTTAAATTTAAAATGTTTTTGATGGTTAATACTCAGTATTACCAAATCAATTTAGACTCACCAGAATATATGCATATCATCACAATAAACAGGAATTTTATTCACTTTCTCATTTCAAAGAGAAAGTAACCCATCCAAAGTGAAAGTAACAACAATTAAATAGAAAGTAACACATATCCAAAGTAAAAGTTTAAATAAAAGTAACAACACATTTATCTGAAGAGAAGTCACAACACATTTTGATGGTAATTTGATATAAAGTTTAACTACTAGCTAGTTGCCCAATCCTTATTGGATTATTTAAAAAAATATGTTTAATTTAAGTAACTGCTAACCTATTAAATTTGTGATTTTGCTTATACAAAGCACAAAGAAAAATTAATTGTAATTGGTCACACATTAAACATACAAAAGAATAAAACTTACAGAGAAATAAAATCATCCTGTAGTGAACACTAGAAGTGCAAGGTTGCATTTAAGGATATATACCACAAACATTTTTTTATCTCCTACAATGTACACAGCAAGTTACAATGGTATTTTTTCAATATTTTTTTCAATGGAAATGTAATTAAGAAATTTTAATTGTGTAAAATGCTAAAGTACCCTCTTGAAAATGTCCCCAGAAACTTTTCAGTAAGAAATCTTCATACATTTCTAAACTATTTACAAACACTTAAAGTATGCTATTTAAACTATACAAAATTCACTTATAAAGTAGGATAGGCAAATATTTTAGCAAAGATATTTGAATTTTGGGGAAAAAAAAGTTTGTGTTTTTTATACTTAAGACACAGTCCAAAATTTCCATGCATTACTGTTGTAATGTCATAAATGTAATGGTTTTAAAATTTCTACTTCTGAATCAGTGTATATATGATGTACGTTAATGTTAAAAATTCATATGACAATATTCAAATGATTTTTTTTTAATATGGCATCATCTTTTTGACACAACTATATTGCTCTGTGCATGAAAAACAGGCATTATAGGAGCAAAATTGTTTACAGTGTGTAAGGGCGTTGAAAATAAAACCAATATGAAAAACAGTAGTACATGTATAGGACTTAGTTAATCTAATTATAAATCATTAAACACAATGTCGTATGACATCTATAATACTGGGACACAGCATCTTAGCATTAAATATGCTGAACATTGGCTGTTAGAAACAGATAAAAGAAAAAGAATATTGAATGACCATAACAAAACAGCTAACAGAACCATACTCATATGTTACATTGTAAAATTCTGCACTTTGAGGAACTTTGTAAATCTTTTTCTATGCTTATAATGCTAAATATAGAATAACTAACCCATTAAATATTGATTTTACCCAATAACTTCAATGAGCTTTTTCTCAAAAACATTATATTGCAACCAAAGGGAAACAACTCATACACCCAGTCTTAAAATACCAAAAAAAAAAAAAAAAAAACAATCATTCTAAATTACAGCCCAGTATCTACATAATGATTAAATAATTCCTCCATTCTGTATAAAAAAAAAATAATTCTCTGTATTTTGAAATATGTGCACTGTGTATAGTCATTTCTTTTGCTACTAACTCTTCTCTGCGACAGCACTATACACAAATAACAAGATACACAAATAACAACATAACCATATCATTTAAAACAATAACAATGGTCCAAAATCTTCAAAATTGGCAAGCAGTTTACTGAACAAAGTATACAATCATTAACAATTCTATCTATTCATCAACTTTTACCAAAATTCATCCCTTAAATCTTACACATTTATCTCATAGCAAACCAACTCCCACTTCTAAAAACAAAAATAGCATCCTTCCAGTCATGGTATCCAAACATAATCACTAGCACTACCGTGAGGGTTTGTTACCCCCCTACCCCACAGGCTTAGGTATGTCCAGTTTTGGGGCCAATGTCTTTTTCTGCTCTGCCTCATTCCCTCCTTTCGTGGGGAGAGGGGTTGGGGCTAGGGTATTTTTTGCAGGATCTTCTTTGCGTTTTGCTGTTGTTGAAGGCTCAGTCTTTTTTGTTGTTGTTTTTTCCTCCTTGTCAACTCGGGTCATTTTCTGAGGTTCAGATTTTGGGTCGTCCATTTCTATTTTGGTGATGGTGTTGATACCGTATGGTTTTAGATGATAAATGAGGTACTCTAGGACATACATCATATTGGGGTTCACGTAATGGAATGAGATAGCGTAGTCACTGCAACACTCTGGTCCCTGTCAAAGATACAGAAGAATACTGGACAGGTGTAATAACACACAATTATAGAATTTAGACAATACTGTAAGTTACCTAAGAATGACTTTTTTATAATGTTCAGCTACCTTTTGAAAAGGCAAATCACTATTTCACTAACTCGAGCAAATGAATGAAACACATCTTCAATCATGCATTAAATAAACAGGCCGAGCACAAAAGTTAAAATGGGTAGAAATTCATAATTTGCCCTTATAGCACTGCAGACTTATATTTGAAGCACTGTATATGAAAAAAGCAAGTATATTCTAAACACCTGCTTTAAAATAGCAGATTATAAATGTAGCATGTTTTGTGACTGTTGAGTTTTTATATGCTTTGGCAGATTATAATTTTAGTATTTTCTGTGATTGTCTGAGCTTTTACCTGCTTGACTGGGTGAAAGTTGTAAGAGAAGTACCACATATCTTTGGGGAGGATCCCGGGAATTAAGTGGTGTTCTGGTACAAATGGCATGAATCTCTCCCGCCCCAGCTTGTCCAAGCTGTCACCTAAAATATCAATCATAATAATACGTAGATTTTACTTATAAGCTCAATCAAGTAAAACAATAAAAGTGACACATGGCTTTAACCTTAAATAATGAAAACTGCCCCGGGATTTAATTTAAGTAGATTTTGCATTTTTTTTCATTTTTGTATGATAGGGCCAAACTGAAGGTCAGAACCACAGGTCTGGAATAATTAAGCTTGGAGATATCTCTTCAGTTTCCCAGGAGTTTGGTACACAGGGTTTTCATTTACCACATATTTAATGTATTGTAAAATCACATATTTTTGTGGGGCAAATTTTCGAGGTTTTAGAAAGAAAGATATATGGGGATTTGATTTCATTGGTTGGAGATGTGTTGACTAGTAATGCACATTAAATTTTATATTTTGTGGTGGTCATGAATTCAAGGGTCTCTACATACCTTGAAAACAACGAAAATTAAACCCCACCAAAGAAGTCAGTTCACTTTATGAATAAAATGGCCCTGTAGATATACCAATTGACTGATCGACACTTGATTTTTAATCTGAAGCATTAAAATAAAATAAGACATATATAGTGCTTTATATCGTATTAAAAATTTTCTCCTAAAATTCCTGGTCTTGGAGAACTGGCTTTATGAAATTGCAATGTTCTTGAACCTTTGACCTCCTACGTAAACAGCAGTATAATTGAGTACTTTCAGGGAAGAAAAATCCTCTGCGCACTCTCTGCATCCAAAAAATAAAACCTGTCTTTCATCCACTCCCTTCTCCAAAAACTTTTTATCATATACAAGTTGCCTGCCCCACCATATTTTAGATCAGAGGTTGCGCTCTATATTAACTATTGAAAAATAGCTTTAAAAATTGGCAAAATTTTTGAGAAATTTTCAACTTGAATGATAGGAAATTGAGAGAATTTGATGTCATAATGCATTAGACTCCCTAGAACATGATTAACATATTTATTTAATTTGATTAAGTTTAATTTTACCAAAGATCTAAGGGATATTCAATGCATTGTTAACTAAAACTATGTAGTTTTTATCCTTTTCAGTAAAAAATACACAGGGCCAAATAAGGCAAAGGTGAACCTTGTGGTTTTGATAAATTCATGGTAGGTATCTGTACAATTGTAAATATGACTTATAATCATTACAAGTTTCTACATGTTGACAGCATACTCCATGTGTATGGTGAAGCTGAAAAAAATCATATGCATTACCCAAGTAATATGAGAATAAATTAATTTGCATGCTTGAAACTCTAGTGAAATGGACTTGTATATCGATCCTCAAGGAAATAAAAGTAAGAAAGTAAAACTTCAATGTTGTTTCTATACAAATTTTCATTCTCATAACCATAAAATTTCTCCACCTTGTGTCAATCCTTATTTAGTTTACCGTTAACCCGTATGACGGCACTATTCCACCTTGTATCCTTATCTATTTTTACTTCGTAATTTCCACTTGCTTCCTTATCTACTTCCATGACCATTCCTCAATCATGGCTTCCTGATCTGATAACAGGTGTGCTGAACTTTACACCTCTTCTCACCATTGGCATGCAAAATTTTCTACCTTGATTTTGATTTGTGGAAAACTTTTTCAGATAGCCACAATAAAAAAGCATTTATTTATTTTGTCTTCTTTTATTACTTCATAGTTAATAATAATTGGGTCTATTCAAAGCATTTCTGATATTTACCATTCAATTCTTATATATATCAGTATATTGACAATTTACATGTGACCTTGACCTTTGACCTCCTCCTGCTTAATCTCACCTGCGGTCACTCCCACTCTCTGCATACATTTTCCAAACTCCAAATCCTCCGCCCCTCCCGCATCCACCCGACAAAACTTTGGGTCGTCTACTCCCTTCTCCACAAATTTCTTGAGTGCCATCTTGCTAAGGACATAGCCCGCCCCACCAGACATGTAGCCCTGAGGGACGTAGGGTTTGAACCGCCGACCGTAGTACATTGGTTCCTGTGTCTTCTTGTCCGCTAGGAAATATCTGCAGCAAAATTTTATATAATAAAGAGAAAAATTTCAACTTGAATGATAAATATGTTTTTCTTAACAGTTATGTTATGTCCAAAATTAGGGACAACTTATACCTACCCAATTAACATAATTTAATTAAGTTTAATTTTACACATGAAAGAGGCGGGGCGTGAGACAGCTGTTAAATAAGGTTGGGATTTTGATCAGCATAGTTTTTACTGTTTTACAGTTCTGAATCCATAATCTAGATCATTTACACAGGTAACTGTCTGCTTTGTGGTTTTGATGAGAATCATGATAAAGAAAGGTATAAAAATACATAAACATGATAAATATCACTTATAACTATACACCCAGATTAGTCTCAATGTTGACAGCACATGAATGTAACAAAAAGTGAACTGAACAAAAACGATGTTAAATTCCTCACTTTACCATGAAATGGCATGAATACTGATTGATTTATGAAAGAATTTCATCCCATAAATAACTACATAATGAAATATGATAAAAGAAAGTTAGCTGAATGTGTGGTTCATATATAAAATTGAAATTCATTGTAATATCTATGGTAGATTTCTATTTTAGCAATATCATCAATCAGTTTCCCTTAAATGTTCATTATGAACTACGCCGTTTAATGTGTGTTCATTAATCTAATTCATCAAATAAATTGCTTTAATTATCTCCTAGATGTTTCAAGGTCATGCAATTCATCATTTATCAAACAGGTGTTCTGTTATCTTATGCCTTAAAATAATTTTAGTTGGTATTTTGCATCATTTAAGTAAGAAAGGGCACATATCTCACAAAAAACAAAATGCATCTACGTAACATTGTAGTGATGGAAATAAGAAATAACAATAAATATCACAAGGGACCACATATACAGTCTAAATATTTGGCCCTTAAAATAAATGTCAATCAATTGACAGTTTTTGTACGGTTAATTTGGAAATCCTCACACTACACAGACAATAAATTTACACAAGATACTAGCATTTGACATACACACGTAGTGTGATGTACAGTAAAATTGTTCTTACAAATTCATGTACTCAAAATTATTTTGGAAAAGGACTCTATGATCATTGTTGGAGTAGTTCATGTATTTCCAGTTGGAAAATGTCAGGCCAATTTATCCCAGATTCAAAATTTAAAAAAATAAGCACTCAATTGAAATCAAATTTTATCCATTTTATCCCACATGACTGATTACGAAGTAATTTAATTTATATAGTTCCCGTTGACTTCATTATAACAGAGTTTACTTTACATGTAGGTAGAATATATTTCAGTATTTTACATTTTACTTACATTATTTCTTACACTAAAAAATATTGAATAGTGATATTCAATTATTTTAATATCATACTTCCTTGATATTTATTTTTTAGATTAGGCCTTACAATGTTTATTTTAAGGAATGGATGTACTGCTGCAGATTGAACCTTAAATCAGAACAGTGTGACAAACCGGTGCAGTCATATAAACATTCAACATGCACATAACATTAAATATCCTGTTTCTTAAGTATCTTTCATAATAACAGCAAGATTTTATGCAAGATAGTAACATCTGTATATATATATATATGTACATGTACAGCTAATTTGCTATTGCAGTGAGAAACACTTATAAACAATTGAGACATATACATTTGTAAATATTTTTAATAAAGTGGAGTAGATAGTTCATAAACTTCATACTTCTTGGCATTTTATTTGTTTTCTGGTTTGTTCATATTGTTCGTACCAAAGCGATAGCTTGTCTTATCAGAGTTTAATCTATAACTGGAATATTTTCATTACCTATGACCAGAAGCTTTCAAATTTTCAATTGTATCAGCTTAACTGAATACCTGTGTTCCCAGCTTTAACATATCAAAAGTCCGAACACAAACTTTACTCCCGCTTTTGTATGGTCTATTGATAATTTTTTATCCTAGTGTAGAAGAAAGATATTCATTTTATGATAACATGGACAATAAAGATTTTAGCTATCTTTAAGCTTCTCAGACAAAGTTATTACAGAAAACATAAAAATGGAAGTCCTCTTCAACAGAAGGTATAATCAAATGAATCACTGACTAGAGGTGATCGAGAGAAAAGAAATAAATATTTTCTCTTGCTTTTTATTCTGCTGACAAATTCTTAAGCATATAAGGATTTAAAATAATAAAACCTAGTTATATCACTGTTCAATGGGCTTTGCAAAACTCAATGTCTTTCTCAGGGGCATGAAGGATTAAACACATGAGAGGAACAAATTACTGACATGAAACATTCAATACACTGTACAACATTGTACAAAGTGCATTAAAAATATTTACCTTAGGTTTTCCACAATAACATATGTATCATCGTCTGCCTTCATGAACCAATCTGCATCGTTGAAATGATTTTGGTAAATATATTTAAAAGCGGCTTTGGTTTTGGCCCAGAGATTGTTACGTCCCTCTTTAACTTCCAGAGCAACGGCCGGCAACGAGGCATCAGCAGTAGAACTCATGAACAGCAGTTTGTTGCAGCGCTTGCCCCAGGTTGCTTTGACGTGGCGGGCCTTACTTTGGTGATTTGTGGGGTTAGTCATCACCCAACATAACACTCGTACTTTCTTTTCCAAGACTCGGGCCACTTCTGAAAGCTCCTCTGTAAGGAAAAACAGGGAACTTGTAATAGAATAAATGTGGTGAAAAAAACATACTAAAGAGGCCTGGCTACTATGATGAATACAGTGGCGGATCCAGGAATCTTGAAAAGGGGAGGCCCAACCAGTTTTAAGTCAGGGTAGGGGCCCACTGTAAGCCACACCAAAAAAAAAAATGATTTACATGTTTTTTTGGTATCTATGCAAATATTGTGTAAAACTTATTTTTGAAGCTTATTTTTGAACCATGAGAATTTCAACCAGTCTTGCATTTCATTATTGATCAGAACTTTAATAATCAAGTCAGTGCACAACTTCTGACACTTTATCTAATGGGTTTATCATATACTGAATTAAAGAAAAACAGCTATGTATAATACGAATCAAATAATTTTATCCAAAAAATCTTAATTAGTTGGTCAATTAATATCTCTGAGTCTACAGAGAAAATCTTAAAAGTTTTTAAATTATTTTATTTGAATAGTACACACAACACATGTGTTGACTTTTGTTATGATTATAGCAACCATTATTTAAACAGTTGTTTTCCTTGTTTTGCTCTAAGAAATAAGAGTTTTATAGCACAATAAAAAGTGCACACATGCCCCATCCTAAGAAAAATAAGATCTATAGATGAGATTAATATTCATCCACCAAACATGTGCTGCAATTTTTAAAGAAGAATACCTTATTGTTATCATGATTATCTATAAAGTATCTTCCCTTCAGTATTGTTGATTTTATGCTGGGCTTGGTGATGATAAATGTATTGCATTTCAATCAATGAGTTGTAATTTAAAGAATACTTTAAGGTGTCTCGACAAGCAGATAGTGTTTCAGTGCAAGTCAATATGAACAGTTTGCATTACACATGTTACATGTATAATATCAATTCATCCAGACAACATAAGTACATCAAAAAGGAACTCAAACCTCTAACATCCCCATCCCCCCTCCATGACCCCGAGAACAATCCCTTTAATTAAGTCTGAGCGGTACTGTGGACTCATTTTACTTCATATGAAGGAATCGATACTCTTTATAGATTATATGTACTGGTAAATAAATTTTCATCTTAAAATAAGCAAAAGATGAAAGGATTGTCATTGATTGAATGTTAAAATGTTTAATATCCCATGTAATTTTTTTTCTCTCACTCATATGGAGACATCACAAACCTGCAAAGGACTTCAAAAATTCTGATTATACACACAATAATTATAGCTACAGACAATTTAAAGTTTATTGAAGGAAAAAGATCCAAATCCTGCCCTGCATAATTAATTTAACATATTAGTGATGGTACATTATCTACTCTGCTCAGGACAACATGATCTTGTGTCAGCATACAGAGTTAAAGAAAGTTATCATTTTTATGAATAACCATGATGCCAAGGAACATTGACAAAAATTTACACGTAATTAATAATCGTTTGATATCATACAATTGGCCAGAATCTAACTGGAATTGGACTTACATGTCTACTTATTTCCCTGGGGAAAAGTATTCAAAAGAATATCATAAATTTAAGTTTCACTAGTGAATATTTTAAAATTCTCTGTGCCATTTATCAGGTGCATCTAACAGCATAATATCATTAATATGGTGAGAACTTAATTTCTTAAACAGTCACACTGCATGTGCATGATGATGGTTAATAAAAATAATTCTTGACAGAAAGTTGTTACTTTTTGATGGTAAATTTCACATCAATTACAACCAGTATTAATTTCTTGTGGTAAAGGATCAAAGATAAATAATAAGAAATTTGAAATGTCTTTGAGTTCATAAACATTAATTCTTAAATAAACGTTTTTGGGGAGGATTTTTTATGCACTTTGTCTTCATGCAGTCTCCAACTCTCCAAAGTGCATGTTCAAAACATTCCAATTTTGTTGTTCAATAAAGTGCATAACATGATAAATAGTCTAACTTGTTTTAAATATGTGCCTTGCTTATTACTTCTATTTCTTAATAAGGTAAAAGTACGTAAATGTAAATACCTAATATATGTATTTTGAAATAGCTACACTTCTTAGGTAAAGACAAGACCTGTCAAGGGCAACTTTTTACATGTTGAAAAAAAAATTGTGCACACATGTAACCTAACTTGTCTAATAAAAAAAGTATGTTATGAAAAAAAGAGCTATCTTGAAGCAGTAAAACAAGCTATATATAGATAGATCCAAAAGATTGTCATCTTGTGGTCATGTGGATTTATCACTATACATGCTATACATGGAAAACCAATTGCCTTTAAATATGTTAAACCTTTTGAAATTATTTATCTGTTATCACTAGAGTTTCCCTGCAGAGATAGATCCTATTTGGTAAGGTCAAACGAAACCTTATCAGGAATACACGTAAACTGTACCTTTAAACACACCGGAAAAACTAAGATCCGCCTTACAGAAACATGATAAACAGTCGTCATTAACATAGAACACTACCTGAGTGGGTGCTGAATTGTTGGTCAGCCCATTCAATGATCTGATTAGGACCGGCTACATTATCATTCTCTCCGTGACTGTGTGGACTTTGAGGGAAAAACCCTCCGAAAATAAACCCTGGGTTGGATTTCTGTGTAGGGGAATGATTAATGTTCACACGGCTGTAAAACGAATACAAATACGTAACGCTGAATCCAAAGAATATTCCGAATGCGAAAAGAGTCAGACTTGTTCTGTCTACCATCGTTGTTTTTTCACATTCACCCCTTGGGCTTCTTGTTTACATTTTTTTCACTTTACAACTGAGACTGACGACAATGCCAAACTGCCAAAGGCTGACATGTTGTAGGCCTTTTCTACCTCCGCTGACTGGAAATCGAATGATAATGGCGGGAAATTTTAAAGACCCAATTTTTTAGATAGTTTTCGATTGACCAAGAGTTACTTCCCGTTGGCCGCCATACTGGAGGTCCAAACGCTCATATTCCTTCATTGTTCAACCAATTTAAAATTTTTATATTTGCTATTCTGAATTAGAAATCATTATTTTTCTGAAGTATATAAATTTTTGGAAGCCTCCTTTATTTAAGAAAAATTATTTGATAAAGATTTTCCACCAAATATTTCTGCTTTAGTTTCTTAAACTTGGTTACCTCCAATATGGCGGCCAACGGGAGGTAACTTTCGCTAAATTCAGGCCTATCGAAAACTATCTATACCCAAGATGTCAAAATCTGTGTATACGTAGCATTACACAGGAAGTCTGTGTTTGGTAATCAGGGTCATCATTACGTGTTTTTTGTCTGGTTTTGAGTGAAACTACGTAAAATAATTATTTTAATGTGAAATTTATTTGTAAACTTAACGCATTCATCGTAATCATGGTAATGTTTTGAAGGAGAAAAAATAAAAAGATACATGTATATCGTTTTAGAAAATGTTTTCCTTACATAAATGCCACTATTTGCCACTTATTTAATATTTCACTGAGTGGTGACGGGTCTAACTTCGTTCCTTATCGCTAAAACATAAGAAATGTAAAGAAATTTATTAAAAGATAGAATTATTTAGGAAACAATTTTAAAAACTGGTTTAACAAATGCATCGATAAGTTAGAGACGAGATAAGGTGAGAAGTATCAAGTATTGTTATTTTCTTCTCTCCTCACAGTTTGAATTGTTGAAAACCAAATTGATTTTCCAAATTGAAATGTACGTAGACGTCTAGACTCTTGTTATTACTATCCCCAGGGAAAGTAATAACGAACCGCCAACTTCTCATTATATAGAGAGTATATAATGAGTTTTTATTCTATTAGCTTCTTAAAACATATATATTGTCTTATTTATTTATGTTTTATTTATGATTATTTATATCATATATAGCATTTAGTGCTAAGTATAGGTTAATTACTATTACAATCTATGAGGACCCCATTGGAAATAAGCACATTATTGCTTTCATGGGTCATCCTCCGGTAAATGGCTATACTTAGTACAAAAATTATATAGTTACCCGCCATTCTCTTTTAGATATACTGAATTAAATATATTTCTCAAGTACTTGCTTTTTATGATATAATGCTAGTGTTTTATTACAATTGTATTTTTTACGAAAACTTATGATTTCTTTGGATTCCATGTGCCAATTATGTTCTTATGTGTCTATCTTATGCTGCATATATGACATGTGCCATTTCCTGAATAAACAAACAAACAAACAAACAAAACAAAGAGAATTTTGGAAAAAGACTGATCAGTGTCGTACCTAAACTTGTGTCTGTTTCAATCTGATTAAAATCAGATCCTTTGATCCGCTCACATAGATCGCTACACGATGCTACGTGGCTGCAATGATCCGATCTTTCAAAAAAAGAACAAAAATTGAACAGGGCATATAATCAATTAACACGGACCCCCTAGAGAGGTGGGATCAGGTGCTCTAGAGGAGTGAGTATGTCCTGTCGACCGATAAAAAAAACTAGCATATTATATATTTGTAATAGAGTGAAATTTTACATGTTTTTAATGAATTTATTTTTCAGGTATTTTCTTTGATTTTATGATCATTTTCAGAGTTTAAATTGAAATATTTAAATAAAGATTTATTTCATTCAAACTATAAATTAAAGTATGTGTTTTGTTATTTTATCATTTATGAAGTCTTACAGGTAAAGTATTTAGTTATCTTTTGGGTTTACCTGTAGATTTGTAGTTATTTATAGATCTGGTTAGATAGTGGTCATTCTGGATTGGTCAGGTGATTTTAGGGAATTCTATTCTTGTTTTTCATGCCCAAGCGTTCTGATGGGTGTGTATGTTCTGAGACATTTTTAGAAGTTTTGGTTTGATCAGTACTTGATATTCCTAGTTTGAAATAAGTATGGACTGAGATTATTCCATTACCAGGTTAGTGTTTAGTTTAGGTTTTCACATTTCTTTATTTTCCCTACTTTATCTACTTTGTGTGAATGTTTGAATGTTAGACTGAGTATGCTAGGGAGTGAAAGTCTTTTGTGAGATTTGTATGAAAGCTGTAAATAAGTAATGTAAATATAATAGCATTAAATAAAGTTTATTTTATTTCTAAATAATTTGCTAAAATTAGAATGGAGAAAATGAGTGTTTTTAAGTTATAAAGTTTTGAAGTAAACAAATTCCTAAAGTATTCATTTTTCTAAATAATTCCCTACATTGAGCAGTATATCATTTTTTTACATTTAGAACACGTACCATATTATTGAGACAGCTGAGTTTTGTATATATACTGTAGCAGACCTTTGCACCTCATGGGAGGTAAGGTTAACTGTGTGTTGATATAAAAATGAACACAGCATCATTTTTAAATATTGATGAATTATAAGCTATTTTTGAAAGTATTTAAACTCATTTTTCTTTATTTGTTCAATTCATGTAATTTGAGAGTTTTGCATGAGGTTATCTCTTATTTGAAATTTACCTAGTTTGTGTTCATCAGAAACTATGAATATTCTAAATTTATTTATAATGAGTTTATGACAACATTGTTGTTGAAAAGGATAATAGTTTACATTGGAAATTTTGGTTTTATTTTATGTTATAACTGCTTTGCTTGTGAAAATTTGCATGCAGAGTTATTGTTCTTGTATTTATAATTTTAATACGTATTACAGGGTCATCTATATGTCATCTTTACCATAATGGGCAATAGTCTACCATCACAATAAAACCCACGTATTATAACCAGATGGAATGTGTTTGAGTTGTGTATTTCCACCCGGTTTCATATTTACATTTACAAATGTTTTCTTTTATAAAACACCATAGAAAGCAATGCGTATCTGTAACTGTATAAATACCAGCCACGTAGCATCGTTTTTGAAAAGGGGGGGGGACCAGCCAGAGAAAAAAATTTTGACTTACCTGAAAAAAGTTGACAAGCAAAAAAAAAAGGGAAAATACCCAAACTCGAAAATCCTATTTCGTGGGGGGTGGGGGGGGGGGGGGGGGTAGAGGCCAACTTTTTTCAATACTTCTTTCGGTACCAATTTCCCTGCTTTTTATACTACATTTCCTTCTTATTAACTTACTGTACTCTAAAGTGGGCCAACCAGCATTTAAATGAACATTTCCAATAGTAAAAGTAATGTTCCCAAAAAAAGGGGGGGCAGGCCCCCCTGCCCCCCCCCCCCGTTGCTACGTCCCTGAATACAGGTACACCTCACTGCGTATGTAAATTATATTATAGCCAATTGCATATCCAAACATGAAGAAATCAGTCCTCAAGTGTGGTATCTAGGGGTCCTCATTAAGGACAGTGCTGGTGTTGAATAAGACCCCTTTGCTACCTGGATTCAACATATACATATTTTTTTCTGTATATTATACATTGAATGTCTTTGCATCAATTTATACCAGTGGCTGATTCAGGAATTTTCTAACCGGGGGGGGGGGGGGGCAGTAGAAGGCAAAGAGTCTAGTGGCTATACTGAAGCCCCCAATGGGTCTAAGGCCCCGGAAGCTGACAAGTTCTTACAATCAAGAGGCCTTTTTTCCTTGATTTTAGGATAATGGACATATAAGTTTAACATGCGAAAATTTCAAACCGAGGGGGGGGGGGGGGGGGGGGCACACCCGGCGCCCCGGCCCTGGATCCCCCTTTGTATACGTACTTTTTAAAAATCACTGCAAAAATGTGAATGCATAGAAACTGCTATAAAAGAACAAATGTTAATATATAGATATGATACATATAATGTATATATGATTTTCCCTATGTAGAAGTCATATCATTACCCTGATATGATCATTAAAACATTAATCGCAATGTATGTTATAATTTATGTCCAATATATGTTGTATATTACATATGTTTTTGATAAAAGAAAAAAAAACCTTCTTTGGCAAATTTTAGTAATTTGCTAATTAATATAATTTACATTTGCAAATATTTTTCCTTCAGATTCTTCACAAGTTATAAAAGAATTCAATAAGATGTTGTTATATGTAATGTTTTTATTGGTCTTTATTTTTTTAAAAATTCAATATTTTAGGCTATCTACTGTGTGACATTTAAATCTGAAATGACACAAAAAGGATCGAGTCTACCATACGAATGCACAAACATGATAAGACAAGAACTAAGAGTCAATAATGATTTTAAATACTCATGAAATATAAGTTAGATAACTTAGAAATCTTAGAATTATCTACCTGATATACCTAATAAAATATCATAAAAACGGGGAAACATTCTAGGGACATAATTCATTTCAGTAAACTTTATACAAGAATATATGTTTTATCATAAAGGTGTTCTTGAATAAATAGCTTGTTCCAAATTTAACTCAGTATTTCAAAATTAAATTCTGTGTAATATTAAACACCACCTTTTGAAAACAAATCCACTGGATCCTTCAAATGCTGAGACCAAGTCCTTTACTGACTGGAGTGCAAGTACCTGTTAGAAACACCGGTGGGGGGCACACAAATTCGGGGAGATGATTGCGGAATTGCACCATCTCATCGCCAGAAACTCTGCATGCCCTGTCGTAATCTCCCTTATAGAAATGCCAACCCTTACTCGGGCCCATGGAACCAGCAGAGAACTTTGTAAATCACGTGTGAGTGAGGGGGAGGTCAGTCTGTTTGGAATTGAAACTGTTTGAATTCTAATAATAATA